CAAGTAAGTCGAACACATCTACAATCCTGACAAATTTCATGTTGATCTGTGCAGCTGATTCCGTGCTACGATTGACCAAAAATCACTGAAAAAATGTGGAAACTTAAAAAACAAAACAGTACGGAAACAATAGGACCCCCGCTTCGCATGCAGGGGTCCTAATTTTTTTGCAGCAAGTTTGCTCTATAGGTTTGACGTCAGAACAATAAAACAGTCAGTCAAAAAAAATAATAAATAGGTCCTCTGGATGGTTCTTCTTTAGTGAAACGTTTCATCTCTCCTCCAAGAGACTTCTTCAGTCTGATGAGTTTCAGGTGAACTCAGCCTTATAAGCACTGCCTCCACATGGACAAACAGGTTAGTCACATGCAAAAGAGGGCCATCGCCTAACAATAGGCTTGATTGGCTCTATTGTTTATAGAGGGACATGTGCCCCATCACCTGACTTATTGGTTTGGATGCTGTGGTTCTTAGGTGTCGTGTCATGTGTATGTAGTGAATGCAGGYGGGGCTCAAAGTCCCCTTGTTTTTTCGTTTCACTAAAGAAGAACCCATCCAGAGGACCTACTTATTTTTTCTTTTTGATTTTTTCCTACCTGGATTACTGAGACGCATCAGGACACTAGTCAAAGTATTTGTAGTGGTAGTAGTATTAGTAGTAGTATGCTATTTTGACAATAAACATGTACAACAGGTCAAAGTCAGTATGATGCATCAGTCTGTAATTCTCTTCCTCCAGATGAAATTCTCTCGGTGTGAAGCCGTGAATTAAAACAAGCCGGTGTGGACAAGAAGACAATTCACACACCTCATATCCCACAGGATGGTAGTGCAGTTTGGGGAAAAAGTTGTGGGGAAAAAAGGAGAGAAATCAAGCGACACGCCAACACGCACAACASCAGAGGATCTGAAGTCATTTTAAGAGCTAACTGTTAAATATKTGGACATTAGCTCCAATCCAAACAGTGATAATCTGCTTCCATAAGCAGTCTTCTCTCATTTCTGAGTGACGTTACAATAAAAACAGCCTCTGTGTTTTTTTCTTTAACAATTATGAAATAATGGACTTATTATTTTGGTCTTTCCTGCTGGAAGCATTCCTCTMTAATGACAGGGGAAGTCACCAGAAGGTCCATACAAACACTAAGCAGGAGAAAACACCCAATCTAAATTTGGTCCCCCTATTAAGCCAGGCTGAAAAAAAAAAAGCTGTGATCTTCAACACAACATCTGCAACCAGAAGACTTCCTGTAGGAGTGAAAAATGCTCAAATGTGGTTGAATGAAATAGGGCTGGGTGGAAGTGGAGCAATAAACACWGCTATAAGGAGAATAAATGACAAGGGTGTTGGTTTTTGTTGCGTTCGTGACGAGCGCAGTTTCTGTTTTTTTTTTATGTGACCAAAAGCCTCAGAGGCCTCAATTCCAACATGTCGCCCTCTGCGTCAAACAGCAGCAAAGTTTCCAGGATTATTTCCTGAACGCAACAAACACTACGATTATCTAAACAACTTACTTACAAACTTTCAAGATCTAGTAAAAAACAACAAAATTATTATCATGTTTTAAGACATAAATATTTCAAATGTTGACTTTTCTAATCTTTAAACCTTTATTTCTAATTAGAAGTGGTAAAAGAAAATATTGATACATCGATATATCACAATATTTCATCTGTTGATATCGTATCAATTCTTAAAATCACTGAATTGATTTTTATTTAAGGCTTACTGGATGGAGGTTGTCTGAATAGATGTGAAATACAAATGCAAAGCTGAATTTAATCAGTTTTTTTATTAGAATCATTTGGATAAAAATTGGCAATGTATCACCTTGCTTACAGTATCGCGATATATCGCGATATATCATTTTGTGACTCAGTGTTGTGATATGCATCATATCACCAAATTGTTGCCAATACACAGCCCTGCTAATTATGTTACTGTTTTTAATCAAACCATCTAATCTTCRTGTCATGAATCACTTGGTTAAAATAATTTTGTCCACAACTTTTGTCTCCAAACATTGCAGATTATCGCAATAATTTCTGAGACAATTTATCTCCCAGTAAAACTTATCATGAGGTGCACGATATATCGTCATCGCAACGTACTGCGCAATAGTCACATTACAGGTCCTGCGATGTGGGCGGCAAATTAAATCAGCATGTTATCTCAGGACTAAAGTTATGGCTCTAAACGGCCGCGCGTTATGGCTTTTATTTTTAACGGGCCGTTTCCGCCGGCAGAATGACGACTTCATTTAAAAAAC